GGGGGTCCGGACCCCCTCGACCCCCCCTCTGGATCCGCCCCTGCTCACCCTGGATGACGGCATCCTCGGCTTCGCTCTCGTTGTCGTTGAAGACCTCGTCCTGGTAGCGGAAGATGTCGTTGTGCACGTAGTACTTCTTCGGCGACTGCGGCGCGAGGACGAACGTCTGCATGAAGCGTCTCATCGGCTGTCCGTTGTTCGACAGCTCCCCCGTCACCTAGGCAACCACGACGACAAAACAACCATCAGGCCACAATAAAAATATTGTTTGTTTGCCCTCACCCGACCGACCCGCCAAAAAGATTCATTGATCTTTTTTTCTTTTCTTTTTTAAACAAATTGTATCACTGTACATTATATAAATCTGTAGGCAATACATTATATGCACCAAGCAAAAGAAACATTCAACATAAAAGGTATCTCCACACAAGCACACCCGAGCATGTAGACACCACGCTGAATCTGTAAAAAGACCCCCCGCACTCAAAAAGCCGACCTACCTACCCAAACTTTTCAGCCTGGGTCGGGTGATGGCAAACAAAGATTTTTTTAATTGTGGCCTTAGCACGGTGTTACAGCGCTCCAGATAATTTTTGGATCGGATGAGTATTTACTCATCAATTTTCAAATGTTCAAAAGTTCCGTGTAGTTTGCCATGAATATAATTATTCGCCAAATATGATACTCATCTTTTTTTCTACCAAGTACCAATGAGTAATGAAAGTATTGTGTTTTCTACGTTGTCGAACTCTGCTTGTGTGTGTGCGTGTACGTGCGTGCGTGTTTGAAGCATACGCATATGCATACGTTGCAGAATACTACAGTAATTGTACTCCAAGCTTGCATACATTCATGTATACCGGGGCAAATGCTAGCGTATCTGTACTCTTACGTTTTGTACATGCACGCGTAGTAAATGAGTGTTTTCAATGCGTATTTTACGCAAATACGCATGCATGCTTTCTGGAGTACTGGTGTATGTGTGTGTTGTAACATGTGTTTTGCACGTGTTACATGAATTAGTCAGTGGAGTTAGACTAGTAGTTGTTTTAGTCATAGTCTAGCTAGACAGAGCGTCGCTTGTGGCGGCTACATTGATGTATTAGGGAGAATTGTAAGCGTGTTGTTAGGTTAGGCAGTTTCTAGGGTCATTGTGAAATGGGGGTATAGGACGCGGTCTGGGAGAACGGGTACATATGCGTGCAGGATGAGTTGTATGAGTTTTGGGGGGAATATATAGAAGAGAGATGTAGGAAGGAGATTCTGGTTCTGGTCGCGGAAGTAGGCGCACGCGCGACCGTGCGTGTGCGGCGTTCTTTGTCTGTGTGTAAGGAGATGTGATGTTGTGAGTTATTAAAGATTATTCCGGTTACAACACAAGTTTGAATTTATATCATCATTCCTCGTTACAGTGTGTGTATGTGGGGCTTTATCAGCGAGGAACGACGGACGCGTGAACGAGAGCTGGCTGCTGATGCGAGAGAGACTGTGGGGCACACACGCACACACAGGGTTCGCTGCACTATACGAGACCACGCGCACAGACCTATCGGATAAACCAGGGTTTCTTATACATAAGAGGCACAGTGGCGCACCGCAAATTGTCAAATTTAACATCGCCGTTGCGAAAATGGTTTCAGGGTGCTTCAAATGCAGTCTAAGATGCTCAAATTTTTATAAAATTTTGCTGGGGGACTCCCCAGAACCCCCCCTCCCCAGCAAAAGGGGGCGTTCCCCCTCTCCCCTCTCTCCCATGTCCGCCTGCAGCGTTTGCATGCATGCCTACGGCACGCCTTTGAATCCATCATGCGCCTTTTTTTTCGAAACCAATTTTCCCTCAGAAGAAACCCGGTAAACGCGCATGAAAGTCCGGAGAGGGGGCAGGCTGGGGTGTCTAATCAAAGAAGTATTCGTGTCGTACCGCGCTGTTATAAAACCTCCCCGGGGCTAGCTGCATCGTCAAACATGCGAAAGGTGATTAGAATTTCATCGAGGTCCCTATTACTTCCGGCGTGATTGCATACAAGTTTCGTGTTAGCTGATTAGTAAGCGGGACAAAGGCAACGAATCCAGCTAGGGATGATTGTGCTGTGACTGAATTTCAAACCCACGTGTGGAACTAATTACACGCTAATCTGCATATGAGTGCCTAACCAGGGAGAAAGCATGAACGCCTGACTTGTTACGAGTGAAACATAACAGCGAAAAAGTCCCACCCCTTAACCCACTCCTCTGGCTTTTTGGAAGCACTATTTAAATTGGACTCGATGGAATGTCATCAAACAGTAGGTAGGGTGGAACGATACAGTGTGATGTGTGACAGTACAGTGTGACGATATGTACAGTGTGATGTGTGAGGTGTACAGTGTGACAGTACAGTGTGATGTGTGAGGTGTACAGTGTGACAGTACAGTGTGATGTGTGAGGTGTACAGTGTGATGACACAGTGTGAT